GCTTTCTTATAGTAAATACTCTGATTTGATTTGGAAGTATAACTAAATGATATAAAACAATTATATAATTTCACTAGCATAAAACTCAACAACTACCTTATGATAAGTGGCTTTTATTGTAAGAAATGAAGTATTTGACTTATAGTATCAGGGATTTATACTCAGTCTTCAATCCTTAGAAGCATAAATTGACTTCCATACTTATAATAAAATAGCATGCTTGTTGAAAGTCTTCAGTCTTAAAATTACTCATCCATCTTTTATCTTAAAAGACAAAGTATTATTCGTTTTAGTTATTCATATCTAACATTTCAAAGCTCATAAGACAATGCTCAAAATGAAATGGTTTGTTAAACTGAAGGAAGTAACTTAAATAAATATAAGTATAGACTAGTTACAATGCAAAATAAATCATATCCCTGAATTCCACATATTCCATCTTTTGCCGCTAAATAAAACACCTAATCCGTAAATATAAAACATCTTTTTATATCCAGATCTTATTTTATTTGCTTTTCATGATAGAATAATGAATAAAAACAAAACATGGTCATATTGCGGTCTGTGCTACTTAAATTGATATAAGTAGTATATGACGCGAGTCAGGAATGTAATGTCTGGCAGCAGAAAATGAAGAAGATCAAGAAAGGAAGAGCGGGAATAGAAAGCAATTTGTATGAAAATGTGAGAACAATGAAGTCTGAGTCATTTTGAGACAACTGATGAACATTTTGCAAATTAAACATTTACTTTATGATTGTTAGATTTTATTAACAAGTCCTGTAATTTTGTGTGAAATACATTCGATTGTCCCAACTGGTGTTCTTGTTCACTACAATACTTGAAGTGTAAACATGATCTAATACTTGTCATTTAAACAATATCAAGGTGATATCTAATATTTAGAAACCATTTCATTTACAATCGCTATATATTGGAAATTAATATTATTCCTAATGTGAACTAACTTTAATCTCTACCAAAAAAATATTCCCAAATAATCCACATGTTAATCAGTAAATTTAGTATTTTTTGATTTCGAATACTACCAATGTCCACACTTGATAAACATTTCCCAAATATATTTTTTTTTCTAAAAAGAATGTACTTGTGTTGTTTTTTTATTTTTCTCGGTTCAATTCTGTTCATGGAAACAATTTTTTTTAACGGTTAAACTAAAATAATGAATCGATCCTTAAAATAAAATCTGAATACGTTCTACATAAGATTTGCGTTTTCCTACTTATTTAAGAAAAAACTTTCACTTTATGTCGAAGAGAAAAAAAACGGATAGAAACTAAATATTTTTAAAAATTTATATTGCGTAAAATATTGTGTATTTATTAGCTTTACAAAATCCCCATAATCACGCTTCTTTATTTTTTTTAGGCGGGGGGGAGGGTATAATGGTTCGTCTGTCATTCTATTTAATGCATAGATATAAAATATAATAATAAATTGTTTTATTGATTTAAACGAATGAATAATATGTAAGTATGTAGTTCATTTACACACATCATTATGACGAAAACTATTTTCATACCTGAAAACAAAAGACAAATTACTGCTCATTTAGAAAATTATGTATTGGATCACTTTACAAACAAGGAAGTGTATTTTTGTAAGCAATGATGGATAGTGGCTAGCAGTGGAAACCAGGACGCGCGTTTCGTCCTATCCATCATTGCTTACAAAAAGCTTGTGAATTAACGTAATATTGACGCCTACTCACAGTATGCACATATGCCAATAACAAACTGATTAATTGCAGTCTTAAACCTCAATGGGAAGATACAAGCCAAACAATACGGAGTGAATTAAATGTATATTTGACTATATATATGTTAAAGAATAAATATGAATCAAGACCATTCAACTGAGAAACATTTGTATATGTTTGTAAACGTCAGACTACATATCATACAGTAGATACATGAATTATAGTTGTTGTTTCACCAACTTATATCTTATACAAAGTTTATTTATGTTTTATAAAACTATAACTATCAAGGAACTTACTAAGCAATTTTTTATACAAATTGAATATATATCAAAACTATTTGAAAATATACTAATCTACATACGTATTTGAAGAGAAATAAAGTGTAATGTTAACAATCGAGGACGTAGTGATATTTTGAGTTGCTGATATGTCAAAATTCAGACTATGGTACCATAAGTTGTTACCAATCAATAACATCAGGGTTGATTTTTTAAAGATTTTTACAAGCTTAGTATTGGTAATATTTGTAAACAAAATCAATCCTAAGTTTGATGTCTTGTGAGAATAACAGGAAATTATTCGATAAAATGAAAATACACTCGTAATGTCTATAAGTGTCTATTTTTCCGATTTTGAATGATCATCTGAACTGTAAGATAGCTTAGGTATTGTTATAGACAACATTTTCATAGTAGAGGTTGAAGTCAAAATGTAAGGTATTCATCATGTATAAAACAAAGTGTAGTTAACTGTAAATGTTGATTTAAAAAATACCATGACTATTATCTTATAATTAATACAAAAGATATGCTTTTTTAAATAACTTTCATTAACGTGAATATTAAGACCAAATCATGTTGAATTTATATTAAATCATAGTTGCGTTATTTGCTGTTCTTGTTTGTAAGTACAAAAGTATCTTGGTACGTGAAATCTTCTATTTAATTGAAATCATCTTACAACTGGTGACAGTTAACAAAAAATATTTCACTACAAAAATCCTCATCTAGTATTATTTTTATTCATAATTTTTATTATTTCCTTTTCATTAAGATTTTTTAAAATGTAAATGTAAGTAAATGATAAAATGAGGAAGTGTTTTTTGAGCATAGCTTGTATAAAACAAGATGAAGTATTCATTGACCAGACGCCTATACAATATTGACAATCAAATGTTGATTAAGACAGAGTTTTATATCCTGTCCTGATCTATTTAAGCAATACCAACAATAACATTTTTTTCTATGAATATAATGAAAAGGACCAATGGCAAATGAAATGAACTGAAAAGTTTTGCCCAGGGCAGAGTTAGATGGAGAATGCGAACTTAAGCTCGCCTGATTCATACATAAATATTGGTTATTCGAATCTTCTCATTGATGTTTAGGACTGTAAGTGATCAGCAGTTACTTCCAGCTGACAAGTCTCAAATATGAGAGAACGTGAGTACTGCATTCTACCACTAGTCACCACGCATAAGCTCACCAAGTTACATTTGAATGCTTTCTTTATTTAAATCTGAGATATGTGGCAAAAAACGCTTTGTATCTCTTTTTTATACCATGTAAGTACTCAAATGGTGAAATGTAATTGCAGAATTTAAGAAATGAAAATATTATTTCTCATACTTAAGCAAAAATAATAACTGAGATACTGTAGAACAACTAATCGGTGTTTGACAAAATCTTCACACATATATACTGTATTCATTATCTATCACTTTACTCCCTGAATGTATCCTTTATTAAGTATTTGATTAGACGGTTTTTATTATATTCTATGAACAAACAGTATTCTAAAGTTTGTCCTATAATTTGTATAACTTTAGTAAAAAACAAACAAAAGATTCTGCCCATTATCAAATTTGGTTTATTTTCACCTTATATAAAGCATCAGGTATGAGTTATTTTAACAATATTCAAGAATTTGAATTTGACGTCAAAACTGTTTTTTTAAGCAAACGTGTTTAATTTAAATCTCTTTCGCAAAAGATACCGTGATTGTATTACTTGCGGTGATAGATAAATTGACCTTCGTACATTTGAAACAGTTGAATTCTTAGTCAATCAAACGGAAACTAAATATTTACTAAAATATAACGTTCACTGGAACATTTTCAGTATCTGTTAGTATTTATGCATAATCATACATATAAAAGTGCGTTGATAATCTACTACTTCTAGTCTTTGTATTCGTTTATGTGTATATAAGTCATTTATATCTATTTGCTAATGATAAGTGAGAAATATTATTTATATGGAAATTCATGCTAATTTTATATGTATTCCTTTATTATGTAAGAGTTTTCCTTATATCATAACGTCACATTAACCATAAAAAGAATGAAAACATCAATTCCGCTATAAAAATTGAAAATATGATAATAATTCGTCTACCTTTTTTTAGAATATATATAAGCGAACAATATTACTTTTGATTAGATTCTCATCAGGCTTTACTCTAATATACAGTATTATTTATATGCATATATGAAATTATTAAACAAATCAAGGTAGTTTATGAGTTAATGATAACAATGAAAACAATTACATAATATCTGAAAAGTACAAATTGGTAGTATGATGACCGGTGTACTAGTTTTGATAAGAATAATAAAGGCTTAAGTCAATGTTACATAATCAGAAATAGGTCAATGATTAGAAAAATATAGACAGTGAGATAAGATTTATAAAATTATAGGATTATGTAATGAGAAGTGTTCATATAATTGAAACGTGAAACGTATATTTGAGAGAAAATAAAATAAAATGGTAGGAGGGGTTGAAGAAATAAAAATAATAATAAACGAAGAGAAAGTATGGAAAATAATATTAATAATAATATTAAAGCCAATGGAGAGATAAGGGTGTTACAGATTTCTTATGAACATAAAGACTTGGATTGTTGGCTCGAATTCCTATACCTTCTGCTATGTGTAAGAGACGTGATCGAACACCATAAGGGAAACTAGTAAGAATACGATAAATAACTTTAAATGACTTAATTCTGTCTACTATATGACCGCTATCGATCAACTGTGATAGAACCAAGCTGTATATTGTCTTGACAACAGTGTCAGTTAATTATTATTGTTTAGGTAAAATTAATTTTCAATCGAATATTTTTCAAGTCAGTAACCCCAGATAAATTTAGTAATACAAAATAAAAAGAAAATAGCCCAATGATTACATAACTGGTTATATACCAGTATATATCTATATCTTTTCAATGTCCAAGAATTATTTACGCATAACAAAATCCAAATAAGACAACTTACTGAATAATGTTGTTATTGTAAATGCATTGAATGGACAATTATTTATATATAAATAATTCATTTATTCTTTTTTTTTAATTTAATTTAAATGATTCTACAATATACAAATTGATTTCCAAATAATATTTTTCTTTAAAAATAATTACATCATTATTACTGAAATAAATTAATGATGTAACATAATTAGAAAATAGTTTATTAGAATGAATATCTTTAATATAAACTTCAATTTGGTTAGTTTATATTCTATAAATGATAGATATGATAGAATTATTGACCAATCAAAGAATTTATTTTATTTTTACATCTCAGAGTGATAAAGCACCAATCAGTTTTGAGATATATTTCTTTCAACAAAAAAAGACAAAAAAAAACAGAACAACTAATGATAGCTACGTTAAAACAGACAAATTAGAATAGATACACAATTTGTAATGTGAAAGTCATCTTGTATTAAAATATAATGAATTTAATGTATGAAGTTATTTCGATAATAATATTATGACTAAATACTCAGATACTAAATCCATTAAGAATAGTTTTATGTTATGATTACATATGATTACAAAAGTTTTATTATAGACAAATAAATCGAATATTACACATAAAGGAATTGACTTTTCTTTAAACTAATTAGATATCCTAGACTTTTAGGAAAGTATTGATTATCAATTCATGATAAAATTTAATGTTGACTGATAAACTTAGCTAAATAGATGTCGGCTATATTGTAGATGTTTGTTACATACTTCAAACATAATTCATTTATTGAAATAATTGTAATCTTTGAAATTTGCTGTCAATTGATTTTATACCATCTAGACAACAAAATAAACCAGATATATAAAGTCGACCAGTAGACTTTTAGTATTCACTGTAAACAATTACAGATGCAAGAAAATGATCGGGCTAAGTGACAAAATAATTATTCAAGGGGTAGATTTTAATTTCATTGTAAGGAATACTTACTTACTTATGTCTGTTACCCCTCGTAAAAAAGCAAAGGCCGCTCACCGACATTTTCCATCCAAACCTGTTCTGGGCAATCCTTTCCAGTTGCTGTTGTTTTTTACATGTAACAATCCAATTCTCGATGAAACGTATTTCTTGGTCCTCCTACTTTTCTTTTTCTCTTTACTATTCCATGTTAGGGCTTGCTTCATGACACAGTTTGATGATTTCCAATATGTGTCCTATTTACTTCAAACATCTTTTCCTAATTCCCTCTTCAAATGGAAGTTAGTTTGTTCTCTGCCACAGTAGATTGTTGTTGATGGTATCCTCCTGTAGCTTTTCTAAAGTTACAGCCGGTCTCAAGCCTCAGTAAAAAATCAGGGTTAGGGATGGGGTCAGCAACTCTATCCCGTAGAAAACCACCTTGCTAAAAAACACCAAGCAGAATAAACAATTTAAACCGTTGTAAACTTTAGGTACCTATTTTTATATGCAAACGTCGGAATATTAGTACGAATAAAATGAGTTTATCCGCTTTGCTTTCTGATGAAACTAAACTTCCATACACTTGTTTAACAACACGAATACTTATTTGACATGCATTCCCAGAGTTTAAATTTCAATACTTAGTTGGACACTGGTTTATTTATTCTACTGGAATTCACTAACAGGCAATAAGGACATGATCATGAATGTGTAATTATTGAATGGAATTTTGCATTGTCTATTATAAAAATTTCAAACGTCATATGAATTGCGTATCGTTAAAATATGTGCACATTTTGTCATTTTTCATGTGAAATTGAGCTGTTTTTGTTCTATCAAAAAACTTCAATTGACAAATCATGGGTAAAATAAGTTAGGGATTAATGTGCAAATTTTGTATTGCCTGAAAAATAATGTCTAGTAAATGAGTCGGCTTGACTAGGAAATTTCCTAATCCATGCTTATATATTAATTACTTGCGCTTCTTACTCCTAATGGAGCATGGGCCACCGACCAGCATTCTCTAACTCACGCTTTCACGGGCCTTTCTTTCTAGTTCTATCCAATGGTTGTTCATTTTTCTCATATCTGTCTCCATTTTTCGACGTAGTGTGCTCTTTGGTCTTTCTCTTCTCCTTTGGCATTGAAGATTTCAAGGGAGAGTTTGCCTTTTGGAAAAGTTACGTTTTTCCTCAATGCGTGACCTGTCCACTTCCAGTGCTTCTTCCTGATTTCTTCCTCCACTGGGATCTGGTTTGTTCTTTCTCACAGTAGGTTGTCTCTAATAGTGTCCAACCAACGGATCCGAAGTATTTTGTGTAGACAACTGTTAATAACCACTTGTATCTTCTGGATGATGGCTTTCATAGTTCTCCAGGTTTTCGCCTCATACGGTAGCACTGTCTTGACATTTGTATTGAAAATCCTGACCTTGATGTTGGTTGACAGTTGTCTTGAGTTCCAGATGTTCTTCAGTTGTAAATATGCTGCTTTTGCTTTGCCTATTCGCGCCTTCACATCTGGATCAGATCCACCGTGTTCATCAATGATGTTGTCCAAATATGTAAAGGTTTTTACATCTTGCAAATCTTCTCCGTCAATTGTGAGTAAATTGGTGCATTCTGTGTTGTATCGGAGAACCTTGCTCTTCCCTTTGTGTATATTGAGACCCACTGCTGATGATGCTGCTGCCACACTGTTCGTCTTCTCCTGCATTTGTTGTTGCGTGTGCGATAGAAGAGCCAGATCGTCTGCGAAGTCTAGATCATCCAACTGCATCCTAGATGTCCATTGTATCCCTCGCTTCCCTTCAGACGTTGACGTCTTCATGATCCAGTCGATCACCAGGAGAAAGAGAAAAGGTGAGAGTAGGCAACCTTGCCTAACACCGGTCTTCACTTCGAACGACTTTGTCAACTGTCTTCCATGCACAATTTTGCAATGTAATCCATCATATGAGTTCTGTATGATATTGACTATCTTCTGAGGCACGCCGTAGTGTCGAAGAAGCTTCCATAGTGTTGTCCTGTCCACGCTATCAAATGCCTTTTCGTAGTCGATGAAGTTGATGTAGAGTGATGAATTCCATTCAGTTGATTGTTCCACAATGATCCGTAGAGTTGCGATTTGGTCTATACACGATCGATCCCTACGGAATCCTGCCTCTTGGTCTCAAAGTTGGGCGTCTACGCAGTCCTTCATTCTGTTTAACAATACCCTGTTGAAGACTTTTCCCGGTATTGAAAGAAGAGTGATGTCCCCGGTAGTTATCACACTTGCTAAGATCGCCTTTCTTTGGTATTTTGATCAGATGTTCTTCTTTCTAGTCTGTTGGTACTTGTTCCTCATCCCAAATCTTATTGGAGAGAATAAGGAGTATTCTTGAAGTTACTGCTGCGTCTACTTTCAGTCCCTCTGTTGGAATGTTGTCTGCTCCTGCTGCTTTGCCACTCTTGATTTGTCTAACGGCCATGCTGGGTATTTTTTAATTTTTGGTGAACCAACATCGATTGGGAGGTCCATTAGTGGTACTTCGATGTTGGATGGGTTCAGTGGAGCTCGATTCTCTTTCACCATTTCGTTCCTTTCTCCCAGTCCGTGTCGTCCCATGATGTCGTGTTGTCCATTCCAACCTTGTCATTGAAATCTCCCATCAGAATGGTCAGGTCCTTACTAGATATAATGATGTGTTAAAACAAGCAACAAAAATAGTATCAGAAGGGGTTTTGTGGATATTACATTAATTTTTAATAGTTGAGATCATGAGTCAATTAAACTAGACCACCATGAAAAACCTGAAAGCACTGGATGGCCGTTTCATCCTACTATGGGACTCCTCAGCAGTGCGTATCCATGGTCTCACTTCGCGAGACTAGAACCCATGACCTATCAGTCTCGCGCGCGAGCACTTCAAAAAATAGTAATTCATTAAAACATTTTCGTCTATACAGCATTCAATAATAATCACGTCTATATTACATAAATCACTTTCAGATTGAAACTTTAACGAACTCTATCTTCTAAGTCACTTTATAGTTTTTTTTATTTTGTAAAGTTGATGTTAACTTATAGCAAAGAAACAATTTAATGAAAATGCCCATGGGATGTTAAAAAAAGGTGTACGTTTACGTAGTTGAATCAGCAAATTAAATAAATTAAAATTTATGTGATTGATTATTTTCTCATTTATCTTCATTTACCAATGATAAAAAAAATAATATATACTATCGAAATAGTGTATGTCAATTCATATCACCATGGAAGTTATTTATGACTGATATTTAGGAACGGATTTACCTTTCTTTCATATCAATTTTTGGAGTGTAACATTGTAAAGAGTGAATTAACCTAAATTCTATTTAAAACAATTAGTCCCTTTAATAATTTTCCTTTGTTATGACGTACGGTTAATCTGTCTAGTTGACCTTTTAATTTTCATATATAAATGGTCTTAACAAGTATATGTGTGATCAGATTGTTCGAAATGTATTGCGCAAATATATCACATAATTATGATAACCTACGTCTTCTTATTGCATTATCTAAATTCTATTATGTTTAAAACATTATGTTGATATTTCACCTCAAATTTTTCTGTTCCGCAATAATTCCTAGAACTTCTTGATTAACTGAAGTTGATGATAATTTAAAATAACTGACTAGGGAATATTTAGTTCTACATTCGTCAAAAATATTTTTTTTGTATTTCGATTCGTGCGCAATTACAGCTACGCATGAAACTTACCTAGAACTCATAGCTCCAGGAGATATATATTTACTAAGAGCTCCTCTAGATTATAATAATGATGAATTTAATTTTTTTGATGATTAGATAGTTTTGAATGTCTAAAATGTTATCATTTAGTTCACTTTTCCCATTTATAAATCTTTCAACGATTGACATTTAGACTAACTCACCATCCTTTATTCATTTGAATAGCACTTGAATAATCACTCAACCATAAAGTTTAAATACCATGTGGTTTATCTTTTTCCTTGTACATTTTGAATCTTCAAATTTAGTCTTTTAATAAAATATCCTGAATACAACATAGAAAGGTACATCTCTATCATCTGATCATGCTAATGTTGACCTCATTATAGTGAAGTATTTAAACAATAGTGAAACGTGATATTTTATTCTGCTTGATCTATCTTTAATCATCTTAAAACTTTAGATTTATTCATTTTATAACTTAATTTCCTATTTTGAATGAAATTGATCAAACAGTCTTTATTCATCACCGTAGATGTTGTTTGTTTTAAGATAGTATAA